TCCCAAAGTGGTGGGATTATAGGCATGAGCCACTGCGCCCTGCCATATTATTTTTTAATTTTTCAACTATTTTTATCTGAGGTTAGTTGAATCTGATGATGTAGAACCTTTGGATACGGGGGAGTTGACTGGTTTTGTTTTCTCTATGGATACCTTTTTTTGGATAGGAAACAATTTGAAATTAACTTATAGACATGGTGATATTTCATTGTTAAATACTTCAGCATGCTCCAAAGACCAAGGGCACTCTCCTTTATGTGTTTCCACAATAATATATTACACCTAAGAAGATTAATACTAATATATTTCTGCCATTTAAAATTTCTCCAGTTGTTCCTAAGTAGTCTTTAGTATAGCTTTTTTTTTTTTTTTTGAGACAGTGTCTTGCTCCGTCACCCAGGCTGGAGTACAATGGCCCGATCTCAGCTCACTGCAATCTCCGCCTCCCAGGTTTAAGCAACTCTTATGCCTCAGCCTCCTGAGTACCTGGGATTACAGGCATCCGCCATCATGCCTACCTAATTTTTGTATTTTTAGTAGAGACGGGGTTTCACCATGTTGATCAGGCTGGTCTCAAACTCCTGACCTCAGATGATCCACCTACCTTGGCCTCCCAAAGTGCTGGGATTACAGGCGTGAGCCATCGCATCTGGCTTAGATTTGTTTGTAAAATAGTGATCTTTCAAGTTTGACCCATTGCTTTCGTTTGTTGTATCTCTTTAGTCTTCTCTTTTTAGTTTGAAGTTCTGGGGTACATGTGCAGGATGTGTAGGCTTATTACCTAGGTAAATGTGTACTATGGTGGTTTGCTGCACCTGTCACCCTGCACCTAGGTATTAGCTATTTTCCTAATGCTCTCCCTCTTTCGTCTCTTTTAATCCCTGATTCTTTGAAGAATCCAGGCTATTTGCCTCACTTCTAAATTAAGAGACTGGAGAATAGAATGCCTGCATTTTGGATTTGTCTTGTTATTTTCTTACATTGTCATTTAACTTGCTCTTGTTTCTTGAATTTACTGTAAACTGGAAGTTAGGTCTAGAGACTTGATGAAATTTCAGAGTAAGCATTTTCTTTTTCTTTTTCTTTCTTTTTTTGTTTTGAGACAGTTTTGTTCTTGTTGCCCAGGGTGGAGTGCAATGGCACAGTCATGGGTCACTGCAACTTCCGCCTCCCGGGTTCAAGTGTTCTCCTGCCTCAGCCTCCCAAGTAGCTGGGTTGATAGGAATGCACCATCACACCTGGCTAATTTTTGTATTTTTAGTAGAGATGGGGTTTCACCATGTTGGTCAGCCTGATCTCGAACTCCTGACTTCAGGCGATCCACCCATCTTGGCCTCCCGAAGTGCTTGGATTACATTCATGAGCCACTGCACCCGGCCAGGGTAAGCATTTTCGACCCAAACTTTCCAGAAGGCCAGGAGGTCAGGCAGCTCCTTGTCGGCCATTGTTAAAGAAACATTCTGGATGTGTGGAGGCGGGACACTCAGCTGTGCTGCACCCTCCTTCTGAGCCCCTTGATCTGTGTCCGTCTTGGCAGCATCCCTTCCTCAAAAGCCTGTGGGCCGTTCACCAACTTCAACACCACCTGGGAGGTCATCCCCAAGACGGTGAGCACCTTCCCCAGCTCACTGCAGTCCTTCATCCATGGCGTCACGTCAGAAGCCTTTGCGGTTCCTTTCTTCATGATTATCTGGTGAGTGAGAACCTCCAGGACCCACTCAAGTAGGTGGGCTTCTCCCATTGGGAAAGGGGGTGGGGGAGTTCACCCTGGACTTGTCAAGTTGCTGAGCTGCTTTGAGCTGCACTTTCCCATCTCTAAAATGGGCATAATAGGCTGGGCATGGCGGATCATGTCTGTAATCCCAATACTTTGGAAGGATGAGGTGGGGAGATCGATTGAGGCCAGGAGCTCAAAACCAGCCTGGGCAACATAGGGAGATCCTGACTCTACCAAAAAAAAAAGAAATAAAAACCAAAAATTAGCTTGGCATGGTGATTGCATGCCTATAATCCCAGCTACTCAGGTAGCTGAGGCATGAGAATTGCTTGAATCTGGGAGGCTGAGGTTGCACTAAGCCAAGATCGTGCCACTGCATTCCAGTCTGGGTGACAGAATGAGATCCTGTCTCATAAATAAATAAATAAATAAATAAATAAAATGGGCATAATAATAGTCATTCTTTCAGAGGCTCATTGGGCAAATTAAGAAAGATCACACTTAGCCCAATGCCTGGCTTATAAAAAGCCAGTATATATTGCCTGTTATTAACATTACTATTTACAGAATCTCTTTCTCTTTGAAAAGGAACAGATTTCTGAGCAGAGAGATGCACACCAGATTAGAAGCATGCCCTTGAACGCTGGCTCTACTTATAAGCCACGAATAACTGGAATTAATTGTACCCTGCATGTACTGTCATGAAATAATCACAATTACTGTATATATAATCACAATCACAATTGTGATGTAGATATTCTTACGGTAAAACATCACCATAATACAAAAAGTAGGCCCAAAGAAATATGTACTTGTAAGAAGGCAGAATACTGCTGGGCATGGTGGCTCATGCCCGTAATGCCAGCATTTTGGGAGGCTGAGGCGGATGGATCATCTGAGGTCAGGAGTTCAAGACCAGCCTGACCAACATGGAGAATCCCCGTCTCTACTAAAAACACAAAATTAGCCAGGTGTGGTGGCACATGCCTTTAATCCTAGCTACTTGGGAGGCTGAGGCAGAATTGCTTGAACCCAAGAGGCGGAGGCTGCAGTGAGCCGAGATCGCACCATTGCACTCCAGCCTGGGCAACAAGAGTGAAACTCCATTTCAAAAAAAAAAAAAAAAAAAGGGCAGAATACCTTTGATGAGATTAATACAATGCAGTGACTTGGGGGAGCCGTTCAGGTAGCCAGCCTCGAATTCGTAGGATCCAGGGCTCCAGCTGCTTCACTCTAATTTGTTCGCCCCAGCAGTGCTTTGGCTGGTGTCATGTCTCTGATCTGACTTAAGTATCTCAGAGACTGCCAGGAAAATACTGTGGACGTCAGTGATTTCAGGAGCTCCTGGTTACTTTGCCCTCATTTCATCAGCCTTATCTGGGGAGATTGGATAGGAAACCACCTTCCTTTCATTCAGTGAGGTTGCCTGCTGTTTTTATGAGAGCTCGCCCTCCATGCCATTTGCCCCTCTCCCCAAAGATAATAACTTCAGCCACCCCCGTTTCAGATCTGGAGCTGCACAGAGATAGGAGCCAGCTGTTGATTTTTTTTTTTTTTTGGAGATGGTGTTTTTGCTGTGTTACCCAGGCTGGTCTTGGACTCCTTAGCTCAAGTGGTTCTCCCTCCATAGCCTCCTGTGTAGCTGGTACACTAGGCTTCTGCCACCACACCTGGCTTTGATTGCTTTTAATTAAAATATTATTGACCAGGTGTGGTGGCTCACACCTGTAATCCCAGCACTTTGAGGAGCTGAGGCAAGTGGGTCACTGGAGGTCAGGAGTTCAAGACCAGCCTGACCAACATGGTGAAACCCTGTCCCTCCTAAAAAAAAAATATATAATTAGCCAGGCATGGTGGCACATGCCTGTAATCTCAGCTACTTGGGAGGCTGAGGCAGGAGAATTGCTTGAACCAGAGAGGCGGAAGTTGCAGTGAGCTGAGATCGTGCCATTGTACTCCAGCCTGGGCAACAAGAGCAAAACTCCATCTCAAAATAAATAAATAAAAAATAAAATGATGTTATCCAAGCTGGCAATCACTGGGTTTTATTATGTTTCCCTATTTTACAAATGAGGAAATGGGCTAGAGGGGCTCCACAGTGATCATCCACATGTTAATTACATGCCCAGCTGACTTTCTCAACCATGTCCTTCTCTCTCTGTCATTCTGTATGTACAAGGGGAACATCAGCAAATTTTTATATTAGCTTAAAAAGCAAGGCATAAATCAGATTGTGCTGCCATTGCCAAATAAAACTTCAGTAGCTGTTTCTTATACCTTCTGCTTGGAAGAGATAAGGGTTTTCTTTATTTTTTGTAGAGACGGGATCTGGCTCTGTTGCCCAGCCTGGAGTACAGTAGTGTGATCATAACTCACTGCAGCCTTGAACTCCTGGGCTCAAACCCTCCCACCTCAGCCTTCTGAGTAGCCGGGGACTACAGGTGCATGCCACCATGCCTGGCTAATTTTATATCTTCTTTTCTTTTTTTTTTTTTAAGATGGAGTCTTGCTCTGTCACCCAGGCTGAAATGCAGTGGTGCGACCTTGGCTCACTGCAACCTCCGCCTCCTGGGTTCAAGTGATTCTCCTGTCTCAGCCTCCTGAGTTGCTGGGAATTACAGGCATGCGCCACCATGCCTGGCTAATTTTTGTATTATTATTTTTTTTTAATAGAGAAGGGGTTTCACTATGTTAGCCAGGCTGGTCTTGAACTCCAGACCTTGTTATCTGCCTGCCTTGGCCTCCCAAAGTGCTGGGATTACAGGTATGAATCACTGTGCCCAGCTATATTTTATTTTTCTAGAGATGGGGCTGTCGCTATATTGCCTGGGCTGGTCTCAAACTCCTGGCTGTAAGTGATTCTCCTGCCTCGGCAAAGCACTGGGATTATGAAAATGAGCCATTGTGCCCAACCTTTTTTTCTAAAAAAAAGTAAAACTGTTTCAAGGAAAAATATGCTGGTTTGTTTTTCTGGCGGCCTTCAAATGATCCAGACTCCCTGTGACCTGTCTGTCTTGTGTTACAGCCTCATTATGTTTTACTTCATCGCCTTAGCTGGAGCACACAAACGGGTGGTCATCCAGCTCCGAGAGCAGCTGTCCCTGGTAAGGAAGCGTAGCCCCAGAGGGTCATGGTGGCGGACATTTACGCAGGACACTGCAAGGAAAATGGTGTTTTCCTGGGAGGGAGTGAAATTGCTGCAGCCTTCTCTCGCCACCACCTCCTCAAAACTCTGCCTTCAGGCCCAGCCCCATCCAGCTTCATTCATTCACTGATTCATCCATTCCTTCAAGATGTGTATTAAGGAGGGTGCGGTCGCTCATGCCTGTAATCACAGCACTTTGGGAGGCCGAGGCAGGCAGATCACTTGAGCTCAGGAGTTTGAGAGCAGCCTGGCCAATATGACGAAACTCCGTCTTTACTAAAAATACAAAAATTAGCTGGGCATGGTGGTGGGTGCCTGTGATCCCAGATACTTGGGAGGTTGAGGCAGGAGAATCCCTTGAACTCAGGAGGTGGAAGTTGCAGTGAGCTCAGATTGCGCCACAGCACTCCATCCTGGGCCGCAGAGTGAGACTCCATCTCAAAAATAAAAATAAAAATAAAAATAAAAATGTGTTAAGCACCTATTCTATGCCTTGTACTGTGCTTGGTGCTGGGACACTTTGGTGAACAAGAGACAAACAGCTAGGTAGTTAATAAGATAAATGCCGATTAATTATAGATTCTATGAAGATAGTAAAAACAAGGTAGAGTGATGAGTGGGCCATCTGCTACTACAGATGTGGCTGCAGAAGGCGTCTTTGAGGAGGTGTTTTTTTTTTTTTTTTTTTTTTTTTTTACTCCTTATGGGTTCTCGCTCTCCTGCCCAGGCTGGAGTGCAATGGTGTGTTCATAGCTCACTGCAGCCTCAAACTCTTGAGTTCAAGCCAGCCTCCCACCTTAGCCTCCCAAGTAGCTGGGACTAGTGGTGTGCATCACCACACGTGGCTAATTTTAAAATTTTTTATAGACACGAGGTCTCCCTATGTTGCCCAGACTAGTCTCAAAGTCCTGGGCTCAAGTGATTCTCCCCTCTTGGCCTCCCAAAGTGCTGGGATTATAGGCATGAGCTACTGTGCCTCACCCTAGCTGAGACTTGAATAATAGAGAGAGGAGCCCATTATCAGAAGTCCTATTTAAGGAAGAGAAAGAGGCAAAGGGCACAGTGAGTGTATAAGCCAGGCACTTCAGAGGGACAGGGGGAAGTGTGGTGTGGCCATAGGGTGGTGAGTGATGGGAAGAGGCAAGGTGTTCTAATAGCAGCCAGAGTCATTGAGTCATAGTGCCTTGATGGTTCCGTTAAAAAGATTGAGCAGGAGGGAAGCCGCTGAAAGGTGTTAATTTTTTTTTTTTTTTTTTTTTTTGAGAGGTCTTGCTCTGTCATCCAGTCTGGAGTGCAATGCCGTGATCTCAGCTCACTGTAACCTCTACCTCCTGGGTTCAAATGATTCGCCTGCCTCAGCCTCCCAAGTAGCTAGGGTTATGGGCACGCGTGACCACACCCGGCTAATTTTTGTATTTTTAGTAGAGAGTGGATTTTGCCATGATGGCCGGACTTTTTTTTTTTTTTTTTTTCTTCCTTTGAGACAGGGTCTCACTGTGTCACCGAGGCTGGAGTGCAGTGGCATAATCTCAGTTCACTGCAACCTCCACCTCTAGGGTTCAAGTGATTCTCCTGCCTCAGCCTCCTGAGTAGCTGGGACTACTAGCTAGGCATGTGCCACCTTGCCCGGCTAATTTTTGTATTTTTAGTAGAAATGGGTTTTAACCATGTGACCAGGCTGGTCTTGAACTTCTGACCTCAGGTGATCTGCCTGCCTCAGCCTCCCAAAGTGCTGGAATTACAGGCATGAGCCACCACACCTGGCTATACTGTGCATTTAAAAAAAAAAAAAAAAAAACAGCTGCTGCTGGTCGCGGTGGCTCACGCCTGTAATCCTAGCACTTTTGGAGGCCAAGGTGGGTGGATCACCTGAGGTCAGGAGTTCAAGACCAGCCTGGCCATCATGGAGAAACCCATCTTTAGAAAAACAAACAAACAAACAAAAACAGCTGCTTTGTGGACAAGGGGCTATGGAGCAGACACAATGACAGACCAGATAAGAGGCCATTACAATAGTCCAGGGGAGGCTGGGCGTGGTGGCTCACACCTGTAATCTCAGCACTTTAGAAGGCTAAGGCATGTGGATCACCTGAGGTCAGGAGTTGGAGACCAGCCTGGCCAACATGGTGAGTCCCTATCTCTACTAATAATACAAAAATTAGCCAGGCATGGTAGGGGGCACCTGTAATCTCAGCTACTCGGGAGGCTGAGGTAGAATTGCTGGAACCTAGGAGACGGAGGTTGCAGTGAGCTGAGATCGTGCCACTGCCCGGGTGACAACAGCAAGACTCCAGCTAAACAAACAAGCAAACAAAAACTAGTCCAGTGGTTAGAATCCTCAGCCCTGAGTGTGGTAGGTAATGATGGTATTTGTTTCCAAATATATTAAATGTACTTGTGAACTTCTTGTTTTTTAGGAAAGTCGTGACAAGCGCTACCTAATCCAGAAACTAACAGAAGCCCAAAGGGACACAAGGAACCAACTAGACTGAGCGTGAAGTGAAGATGGCACTGCCCGTTGCTTCTAAGCTGACCTAGTGACTCTGCTGAGCCTCCAGAGTCTACCTGGATTTTCAGTGGACATTGAAAAATATATTTTTCTGGAGTTTAGGCTTTTGCACACGTGCAGTTGTGTTTACCTAACCTAGCCCCTAATTAGGGCTTTAGTAACTTAGAAAAGCAAGGAAAAGGGGAAACCCAAGTCTTTGCCTACCGACTGGCCACTCACTGATGCCTCTACCCAAAACCAACAAGCTGTTGAGCCGCGAGTTTATGTGCACAAGTGCTTTGGGATGTAGACTGGAGCGCAGCCTGTTAATCAGACCAGCCCACCAATGTTTAACAAACAGAATTGGAGGCTGGTTTCTTAAACACACATGTACACATTTTTAAGGGCTCTTTGTTTTCTTGTGCTTACAATTTTTAATGCATGTGCCTTTATTTCACAAAACATGTGGCTGGGTGCGGTGGCTTATGCCTGTAATCCCAGCACTTTGGGAGGCAGGCTGATTGCCTGAGGTTGGGAGTTTGAGACCAGCCCGACCAACGTGGAGAAACCCTGTCTTTATTAAAAATACAAAATTAGCTGGGCAAGGTGGTGCATGCCTGTAATCTCAGCTATTTGGGAGGCTGAGGCAGGAGAATTGCTTGAACCCCAGAGGCAGAGGTTGTGGTTAGCCGAGATTGTGCCATTGCACTCGAGTCTGGGTGACAAGAGCAAAACTCCATCTCAAAAAAAAAAAAATGTAGAATATCTTTTAAGATTTCCGTTATGGTAAAAACCATATGCAATAAATACCTCATTGTAAGCTTAATCAAAATAGGTAGATCTGCACCTTTTAACAGAAGTTTGTTTTTGTTTAATGTAATCAATTTTCATTTTAATATTGTCAAAATATTTTTCAAAGCACTGTAGTTTTGTAATGGACTTTTTGAGCCTTCCTTCCATTGTGTTTCTTCCTTTCACTGGCTCCACACCTTTCCTGGGGAGTAGCCTGGAATTTAAAGTTGGGCGCAGGTTTTAGAAAGCCGTTGCTCTTAACAATAATTCTCCCCTCCCATCTCCACTCCACTACTCAGAAATGACTGACTCCTTGCTCAGAGGAGCAAGGATTTCTTATAGTCATTTTCTTGCTTTTCCACAAAGACAGTTTTTAAAGTGGGATATTTTTATAACTGGGAGACCAATGAGCTTTTAGGTCTTTTCCTGTCTTGTTAAGGTTTATGGGTTTCTAAATCTAATAACTGATGTCATGGAATTTTGAGTAACCAAAGATTCATTCCAATCTCACTTAAAAAAATAAATTATGCCAGGTGCAGTAGCCCATGCCTGTAATTCCAGCACTTTGGGAGGCCAAGGCGGGCAGATCACTTGAAGTCAGGGGTTTGATACCAGCCTGGTCAACATGGCAAGACCCCGTCTTACTAAAGTATAAAAATTAGCCGGGCATGCTGGTGTGTGCCTGTAATCCCAGCTAGTTGGGAGGTTGAGGCATGAGAATCACATGAACCTGGGTGGCGGAGGCTGCAGTGAGTGAGATCGTGCCACTGCATTCCAGCCTGGGTGACAGAGGGAGACCTGTCTCAAAAAAAAAAAAGATAGGTAAAAAGAAAGAAAACCAAATTGTAGTAAGCATTTCTGCCCAGTGCTTTTGTATTAATATATATAACATTCTCACCTTCACCAGGCTTCTGAGGATATTCAAGTTTTCTGTGTGTGTGTGTGTGTGATGAACACAATGAAAATGTTTTGCTGTTTTCTTTCCTCATTACAAAAGTGATACTGAAATATGCTAATTATTAGTTTTAGTTAAATGCTGCTAATTTGCATATATCTTACTTGAAGGTTTTTATATGTTTTGATAACTTTAATAACTTCAGATAACGTCTGTATAATTTTTAAAGTGCAGCTTTCTCTAACAAATGTGCCTTACAAGTTATGATTAAACAGTGTCTTGAAGGTTTTAAAATGTGATTGTGTAAACTAGAATTCAAGGAGGCTTCTTGTCAGCAGTCAAGTGATGATGGAAAACTGTAACAGTTCGTAAAGTTGCTCTTTGCTTTTTCCTAAAATAAGAGAGAAGAGAGTGTTTAATGTAGTCCTCAGATGAGTGCTTTTAAAGCTCCTTGGCTCTGTTGAAGCCAGGGAGGGTGTATGTGTGCAACTGGCCAACTGGTTCATTTTGTCCACTGCCTGGATACAGCCCATTTATCAAGACAGAGGGATTGCAACAGAGAAAGAGTTTAATTCATGCACAGCTGGCTAAACAGGAGACCAGAATATTATTATTATTTAAATTTTATTTATTTTTTTTAGAGATAGGGTTTCACCATGTTGGCCAGGCTGGTCTTGAACTTCTGACCTCAAGCAATCCACCTGCCTCAGCCTCCCGAAGCGTTGGGATTACAGGCATGAGCCACCGCACCAGGCCCAGAATATTATTATTACTCAAATCAGTCTCCCTGAAATTTTGGAAACTAGGTTGTGTGTGTTTGGGGAGGGGGCGCGGTGTGCTTTTTAGATGGAGTCTCGCTCTGTTGCCCAGGCTGGAGTGAAACGATGCAATCTCTGCTCACAGCAACCTCCACCTCCTGGGTTCAAGCGATTCTCCTGCCTCAGCCTCCCAGGTAGCTGGGACTATAGGCGTGCACCACCACGCCCAGCTAATTTTTTTATTTTTAGTAGAGATGGGATTTTGCCATGTTGGCCAGGCTGGTCTCGAACTGCTGACCTCAAGTGATCCTCCCACCTTGGCCTCCCAAAGTGTTGGGATTGCAGGTGTGAACCATCATGCCTGGCTGGAAACTACTTTTTTAATGGATAATTTGGTGATGGGGGGCTAGGGAGTTGGGAATGTTGATTGGTTGGGTCAAAGACGAAATCATAGGGAGTTGAAGCTGTCCTCTTGCTCTGTGTCAGTCCCTGGATGGGGGCCACAAGAGCAGATGAGCATTTTTTGATCTGGGTGGTACCAGCTGACCCATCAAGTGCAGGATCTGAAAAATACCTTGAGCACTAATCTTAAATTTTACAATGTTAATGTCATCCCTGAGAGCAACTGGGGAGGTTTAGAATTGTGCAGCCTCTAGCTGCATGACTCCTAAACCATAATTTCTAATCTTGTGGCTTTGTTAGCCCTACAAAGGCAATCTGGTTCCCAGGCAAGAAGGGGGTTTCAGAAAAAGGGCTGTTATCTTTGTTTCAAACTTAAACTGTAAGTTCTTCCCAAAGTTAGTTTGGCCTATGCTCAGGAATGAACAAGGACAGCTTGGAGGTTAGAATTCTGCAGGATAGAGTCAGGACAGATCTCTTTCAATGTCATAATTTCCTCACTGTTATAATTTTTGCAAAGGCAGTTTCATGTGTGTATTCTTTTTTTTTTTGTTTGTTTGTTTGTTTTTGTTTTTGAGGCAGAGATTCACTCTGTCGTCCAGGCTGGAGTGCACTATGTGAGCTTGGCTTATTGCAACCTCCACCTCCCGGGTTCAAGCGATTCTTGTGCCTCAGCTACCCAAGCAGCTGGGACTACAGGCATGCGCCACCACACTCAGCTAACTTTTGTATTTTTAGTAGAGATAGGGTTTTGCCAGGTTGGCCAGGCTGGTCTCAAACTCCTGATCTCAAGCACCACAACTGGCCTCGTGTGTATATTTTGAATTTATAAGATAAGCTGGGCATGGTGGCTCATGCCTGCAATCCCAACACTTTGGGAGGCCGAGGTGGCGGGTCACCTGAGGTTGGGAGTTCGAGACCAGCCTGACCAACATGGAAAAACCCTATCTCTACTAAAAATACAAAATTAGCTGGGCGTGGTGGCATAAACCTGTAATCCCAGCTACTTGGAAAGCTGAGGCAAGAGAATGGCTTGAGGCTGGGAGGCGGAGGTTGCGGTGAGCCAAGATCGCACCATTGCACTCCAGCCTGGGCAACAAGAGCGAAACTCCATTTCTTTTTTCTTTTTTTTTTGGTTCTTATTTATTTATTTATTTTATCCTTTCTTATTTTTTTGTTTTTTTTTTATAGCAAAACTCCATTTCAAAAATAAAAAAGATAAAACTACTTCAAGCACTCCCTACACCCCTCAGAGAACTACCTATCGATATTTATATTATTCATTCCAGAGAATGATAATGAATATGTATTACAATTCAAGCAGATATATATGTGCAGTTGTGTGTGTGAAATATGTACTTCTGGGCTTCCCTTTTCTGCTCCTTAATAACATCTTGAAGATCTTTCCATATATACAGCAACTTCGTTTTTTTTAGTGTGACATGGCATTCCATGATATCAATGCATACTTTATAACCATTCCGCAGCTAACAGATTGCTTTTACCACCTCCCCATTTACAAACACTGGAAACTGGAATTTTTAATGTCCTTGAAAACCTTTCTCTGTCTTGCCCTATTCTGCCCCAGGCTCTTGTTCTTAAGGCAGCCTTGCAGGTTCTCAAAATCACAAAATATTCTCATCCCGGCAAAGAGAAGAATGCAGTTAGGTGAGTCCCAGGATAGCACTACAAGGTCTGACTCTTGGGAAGAGAGAACTTCCAAATGTATTTTCTTTGTATAGGGTGTGACTTTATGAGTAAGTTACATTTGGTCTCTTTCCTTTCCAATGCATGGCACCTGCTTGGGACATGGAATGTCTCTGCTTCTTGCTTTATTGTCTGATTTTGTGCAACTGTTTTCAATTCTCTGAGATAAGGGTCCTATTGATTGATTGATTGAGTCAGGCTCTTGCTCTCTCACCTGGGCTGGAGTGCAGTGGCTCTATCTCGGCTCATGGCAACTTCCACCTCCTGAGTTCAAGCAATTCTCCCAACTCAGCCTCCTGAGTAGCAGGGATTACAGGTGCCTACCATCACGCCCAGCTAATTTTTGTATTTTTAGTAAAGATGGGTCTGCACCATGTTGGTCACGTGATTCACCTGACTCGGCCTCCCAAAGTGCTGGGATTATGGGCGTGAGCCACCGCACCTGGCCTAGGTCCCTTATCTTTAAGTGGAAAAATAATACCTGCTACTTTTGCACCAATCAGGTAAAAACAAAAACAAAACCATGCATTTGTTTTTATTTTAGGGGGATGGAATTAGGAAATAGTAAACATTTTTT